GAGTGACTTAGCAGTGCTGGGCAGGTGGAAGGTCTGTAAGGACTGCCTCATCATCATAAGCGAATATGTTACGTGCTTATGTGATGTGCTGGGTGCCTCACCCACCTTGGCAGGCAGACCGCCCATGAGGCTGAGGGCAGGGCCAGGCCATTAGGAGGTCTCCCATTGATACAGCGCCGCCCCAGCTTTGCGCCTTGCTTCTGCTTCTCAGCCAGCCATGTGGGCTCCAGGGACCGAGCCTCCCATCTGATGTCACCTGTTAGAAGTAGCCATGCTGGGCTTGCTTCCATGTTGTCCAATGTGAAGTCAAACTTCTCACTCCTTCCCAGGCTGGCTGGTCCCAGGAGGGCCACCCACTGAGCTGTGTGTGCCAGCCATGGTGTGCAGAGCCCTGGCGTGCTGAACATGACTTCTGTCTTCAGGGATGCTTACACGTCCTTGGCAGGCTGGGAAAGGGCAGTTCTCCCAGGGAGGAGCAGCCAGGTGAAAGAGAGACTCTGTTGACGAGGTGGGGCTGCATCCCAAGAGTGTAGGGGGGGGGGGGGTGACAGTTCAGGGCACACCAGCCAGCTGTGCATCTGATGTCCCTAGACTGCCATAGCAAACTGTCACCAAGCCAGTGGTTCCAGGACAGAAACGTACTGTCTCACAGGCATGCAGGCCAGGAGTTCTAATTCAGGGTTTCAGCAGCCAAGACGCAGAGGACCCTTTCCAGTGCCCCTGGCTTGCCGCTGTAGCGCCCCCTTCCTGCTCTGTCGGTACATGACCATTTTCTCTCTGCCTCTGTGTCTCTGTCCACGGGTTCAATGTCAGATGGGAAGCTGCGCGGCTGTGGGGGCTGATGAGTCGAAGATCAGCAGGTCAAGTGGCAGGTGTCTGACCAACTCCGGGATCGTCCAACAATCTGGCAGGCCACTGGCTCCGGTGCAAAGAACCCAGGTCGATGTGTCAGAGGCAGGGTCCAGACCCAGCACAAAGCAAGACGGTGACCTCGACATGTCCTCTGATGGGCTGGCCAGCCAGCCCGGCTCCACAGCGCCTCCCAAGGGCAAGCTCTAGGGGAGGCTGTGGTTCAGTGGTGGGGAGGCCTTCTGCCCGGCCATGGCCAGCAGCCCCTGGCCTTGTAGGAGAGATGCATGTGCTCACTGGGATGGCCCTGTATCAGAGGTTGGGCAGTTATTGATGAGTGGTGTGAACCTGGAGGCTGTTGGAGGGACACTGATGAGGCATGGGGCTCGGCTGCCTTTGTCACCATCTCCATGAGTCCAGTAGCTGCTCGTGGTTTCATGGTGATCGTGGGCCTGGCTTGGAGCAGCTGCTGGTAAATGCCATCGCATATGGGAAGAAGGCGGCTCTTTCAGGAATAGTCCCGAGGGACGGGCGGCGTGGATCCCCAGACTGCTGAGACAGAGCACCACAAACCACGCGACTGAGAAGCAGGTGCTCGTTTGCTCCCAGGTCAGGGGACTGGACGCTCAAAGCCCCCCAGCAGGACTGGGATGGTGGGCGATCCTGGCCTAGAAGCTGTGCCCTCCTGTCCTCCGTCTTCTCCCACGGCCAGCTGTCAGACTCTGTCTCCTGGAGGGTCTCTGTTCGTAAGGACTCAGGCCTGTGTGACGACCCCAAACCCATGTCACCTCATCTTCCCTGGGTTGTTTCTGCACAGATCTTCCAACCCCACCACACCACACCACACCCACCACATCGCACGACACCACACCACACCAAAGCACACCACACCACTGCCATTAAGTCGATGCCAATCCCGAGCGACCCAGCAGTCCAGGGAGAGCTGCCCCCAGGAGCTGCCCCTGAAAGGCGACAGTCGGTTTCCTCCGTATGGAGGAGGAGGTCCCCTCTTTCTCCTGAGGAGCGACTGGTGGTTTTGAAGTGCTGACCTCGGGTTAACCCAGTGCATCACCACTATGCCAACAAGGTCCTGCAGAGCCCCTGTTTCCCAGCAACGCCACATTTCCAGGGCCTGAAACTCAGGCCCGGTGGTGCAGGGCTTAGCTGCTCGGCTGGTCACCAAAATGCATCTCAACCCCTTCACAGAGCCTCTTTCTCCCTGAGGTCCTTCCCAGGTGGGGGGGAGGGGGGAGGGTCAGGACTTGTTAGTCTCCACACTGCCTTCCCCCAAGCAGGGTTCCAACCTGACAC